CTTATACATAGTGATGTATGGGGACCAATGAGTTGTCCAGCTAGAGGAGGTTATCTGTATTTCGTTACGTTCACTGATGATTTCAGTCGATACGGTTATGTCTATTTGATGGGACATAAGTGTGAAACACTTGAAATGTTCAAGGTTTTCAGAAACGAAGTACAAAACCAGCTTGGCAAGACGATCAAGACACTTTGATCGGATCGTGGTGGCGAGTATATGAGCCAAGAGTTCACTCCTCCTGGAACGCCACAGTGGAACGGCGTGTCTGAACGGAGGAACCGAACACTGTTAGACATGGTTCGGTCGATGATGAGTCAGAGAGATCTTCCGTAGTCCTTCTGGGGCTATGCTTTAGAGACCGTTGCATACCTACTGAACAGGAGTCCAACGAAGTCGGCTGAAACGACGCCATATGAGATATGGACGGGGAAGCGTCCCGCGTTGTTGTTTATCATAATTTGGGGTTGCGACGCTTACGTGAAGTGTCAGATGACTGATAAGTTATCCTCCAAATCTGATAAGTGTTTATTTGTAGGCTACCCTAAGGAAACTAAGGGTTACTACTCCTACATTCCGGCAGAGAACAAGGTGTTCATTACCACGAATGCGACTTTTATGGAGCGAGAGTTCGTCTCCAAAAGAGTCAGTGGGAGTAAGATCGAACTTGAGAAAGTTCGAGAGCAACAAGTAGACGCTGGGCCGAGTGAACAAGTTGAAGATGTTCAACTTGTTCCACTGCCGGTTGTGATTCAACCTTCGACTAGTGAACCTCGGAGATCAGGCAGGATTTGCCAAGAGCCTATGAGATACGGATTTTGTTGGTTGTGATGCTCTAGGATGATCCGTGATATGACATTTTGACTTTGTATTGATTCATTGATTTATGAATGCATTACTTTTCCCGTTATATGATTAGCATGTTTGTTATATTACGGTAAATATCCTTGAATCATTGCAGATGATTCTAAATTCTCTGGTCAGTTATCATTGTGGGAACAATGATGAATTAAGACCAACATGATGTGTGATAGATGATTATGATCATATGCATTAGATGCAAATCACAATCATGGGTTCTCGTTTGGAACGAGTTACTGGATGACCCGCATGAGATTGTCACATGGACATGAGTCATGACTTGAATCTCATACAGCGGTTCGTTCTTGGATCCTCAGACCTGAGATGTCTAGAGTATCTGATATGAGGAGTGACGTGTCTTGACTGCGTCAAACGTCGTCTTTAACCGGATGATCATAACGGCGTTGCTCAGATACGTTCACGAATCATATGCAGATAGTACACATGCAATACGGGACTTGTCACCTCCTACGCAGGAGAGATGTCGATGGGCCCCTCGTGGAAATCGGACTGTGAAAATGCGTGGCCACGCTATAGATGAATGTACATCTATTTTATCAGTCGGTTTGCCTAGACGAGTAAGCGGTTGAACTTGAAGGGTGGCTCATACCATGCCCTTGTTCAACATACGACATCGTGAGACAAAGGATCAGAACTCGAACTATTGCTGGCTTTGTTAGATCACCTCTAACTATATTCTAGGTGGGTGGTCATGGCGTCTTGCTAGAGACTAACCATGACTTGTGGTTCGGGAAAGGTTCCCGAAGCCACTGCCACTTCGAATGGGCCTACAGGGTCACACACCATTAGGGATGGATCACACGTGAAGAGAACAACGCGAGAAAAGAGCGACGAAGCGATCTGGAAGAGTTCCGCTGAGGAACGTTCGTTCCGCTGAGGAACGGACGGACCGTTCCGCAAGTGCCAGAC